GTGTGTCACCAACTCAAATGGTATGTCTACACTAGCCCCTTAGTTTGAACTAGGGAAGCTAATGAGGGCGACCAAAATTGCAAATGAAGCACAAGATTTAAATATCCCGCACTTCATTAGCATGTTGCCAGGCGGTCGCCATATTGGAAATTGACTAGCCCGGAATAACTGCTCGCGTCTATACGCAGCAGAGAAGGGTGATTCCAAAATAAATCCCTTACTTCGAATTACCAGTTAAACCTCATAAGGTTTATTGAAATATTTAAATCCTGCGCTTCATTTGCAATTTTGGTCGCCCTCATTAGCCTCCCTATTTCGAACTAGGGGGCTAGTATAGACATACCCAAAGAGTAGAAGCTCCAGAGCAGTACTTTAACATGGCTTCAGAGTTTGTAGACAGATCCATTTTTTAAAGAGCTTACAAATACATTCTTCATCCTACAATACACCTAGCATCACACCTAGTATGCCCATTGACTCATAAGAGCCAGAACTATACCATATAGAAAAGAACTGGCTTTAATGCCCTTCTCCAAACAAATTCTAACACTTAATGGAAATCACTTGTCTGGAATCCAACTCTAATTGAAAAGCCAAACAGATTCCATGACACAGTTCTTCCAGTTTTAATAATTTACCATGTACTGTATAAATTAGTAACATGGCATATTTTAAAAAAGATCAGTCTTCTGTTATCTACAACACTTCAAAAAATCTGTTCAAAGAATCCTTTTCTTTCCTTACCTTAAGCCGTTAACACCTATGTAAACTTTCTTGGTAATGTAATCATGCAAATGTCATGAGCGAGGCCTAGCCACATAATCCTTATTTACAAAAGCAGCCTCGTGGCTTTATAATAGAAAAAAACAATACATGTGAAGTCAGATCCTGCATTAAGATCTGCTCTCTGCCCTCTTTATTTGTCTTCTCTGGTTCTGCCGCTCTCTGCCCTCTTTATTTGTCTTCTCTGGTTCTGTCACAAACAAACTAATTTTTAGCTCAGACTGACATCTCCAGGCAGAGTGCCTTCTATGGACAAACTCAGCATGGCCAAAAGCAAGCTCTTTATCTTTCCTTCCTGAAACTAAGTGAAAAATATTTTGGTTTAGGGCTGCGAGGAGTCACTGTTTTGTGTTTCCTCTACAAGTCTAACAAGTCCATGGGTGCTGCATAATTCTTTCCCCCATCGTATTTTCCTGGCATATTTAAGATCTTGTAATTATGTCACTAATCATTTGATAATTAATACCAACCCCTCTTCACTCTAGCCTCAACAAGAAAAAAGGGAAGATATATTTGACTAAGCTCCCTCTGGTGCATTAATGAAATAATGACATTTACACAGAAGCAGCCCCATCTCCCATAGAGCCACATGTTCCCATACCCCAGCATATCAGCATACCATGCCACCCTTATGCAGCCTGCTTCCTCACCGCTCCGCCAGCCCAAGAGAGAATCCTATGTCTCTCCCTTGCACCAGCAGTTATAGCCCAGACAGGAGTGAGTCAGAACACCCAACAAACTCCCCCTAACTCACCACACAGATGCTTCCACCCCTTCCTTTCCCTGCCTGTCTATCCCATGTAGTCTGCTCCCCATCTTCTCCCCTCCCAGCCCAGCAGGCTGGAGAGTGCTGGGTTTCTCACATGAAATTACAGCCAAGCCCAGCTTCTGTAATTACACCAATCCTTTCCTCTCCCACCCAGCTAGGAGCCCCAAACTTCCCCCTCTCTACTCTCCCTGCTCCCGCAGTCATTTATTGCCTCCTGCCTCCTTATGTCCACTCCCTATCAGCTAGAAGAGGCAAACTCCACCTCCAGTATGGAACTGCTGCTGCTGAGAGAGAAGTCTCCCTCCCTTAGTAAGGGAGCTCCCTGCAAAGTAGCCCCTGAGATTCTAGGCAGGGCTCATTAAACAATTGCGAGGCCACACTGCTTTATTCTGCCTTTACTGGTAAAGTGTTTTGGTAGATGTGCAGACTATTCTGTGGCAGTGACTACTCTAGTCAATTTATAACAGATTTGATATTTGGAAAATGCAGTCACTAGAATTACTTCTCATGAGCAGGGGAAGGATCATCTTGAAGCACTGTCAGCAATGCTCCAGCATCAGAAGTCTGCCAGAATTGATGCAGAACTGGAGAAGATGAAGGAAAGATCATGTAAATACTGGATTACATTGAACTTCTAGCTGAATTTGATCCATTTCTCTTAGAACACATGCAAGGACATGGCGATCCAGGAAGAGGGAATGTGTCTTATCTTTCATCAACTATATGCGATTAATTTATTGATATTTTGGAGCCAAAGTTATGGCGCGGATAATATCTGAAATCAAGAAGGCGAAGTATTATGGAATCAATATCGATTTTGGAGCCAAAGTTATGGCGCAGATAATATCTGAAATCAATAAGGCGAAGTATTATGGAATCAATATCCCCTAATTTTACTCACTCTGATCAGCTTACAGTGGTGTTTGTTATGTATTCAGTGATGGAAATGTGATTGAGTGATTTCTTCAGTTCATTCCCATTGAACAACACGATGGAAAATACTTATTCGATCTTTTGCAGGATATTTTCAAATTTCATGGAATAGATATTGCAAGCTGCAGATCACATTCATGTGATAATGCCAGCAGTATGAGTGGCATTAATTCAGGGGTTCAATCTAGGTTTTGTGATGTTAACAGTTTGGCTAAATGGGTTCCATTTGCTGCACCTAGTCTAAATTTGGCTGGATCCTCTGCTGTGTGTTGCCCTGCAGCAGTCAGGTTTTTTGGGAGTTTGCAGTCATTCTTTATGTTCTTCTCAGCTTCATCATAGACATGGTCTAAATTAGTAAATAACATGAAGCAAAATATCAATGTTGTACAAAGCATATCAGAAACAAGATGGTGAGCATGGAGCAATTCCACCATAGCACTTTAGCTGAACTATTCTGAAATTCATCAGACTTTAAGAGACATAGCTGAAAGTGATCGACAACCACTAGCAGCTGTCTGTGAGGCAAAGTCACTGACTAAGAAGCTGGATCAGTTCTTGACAGCTTTCATATGCGTCATTTGGAATGACATACCACAAAAGAATAACTTTGTGAATAAAGCTCTACAGGAGCCTGGCATTGAGTTGTGCACTGTTATGAATTTATAGGATTGTCCTTTAGTCCACTTCTGCGATACCCACAAAAAATTTCATGTGTTTAAGGCAACTGCAAATATCTTACACCAACTGACTACAATGAGACCATACAATGCAAATAACAATTTCATGTGTTTGAGGCAACTGCAAATATCTCACACCAACTGACTACAATGAGACCATACAATGCAAATAACTGAGAGAGCAATTTTTTGATGAAGTTTGCATGGATAACACTGTCTCAGATTTGAGTTCCAGGGATAAATTTCACATACAGTGCTTTTAGTCTATCATGGATGAACGTATTGTTACAATGGTCAGGCAATGAGCAGCATATGCCACATTGAATGAAAGGTTCAGTTTTCTTGTGGATAGATCAATGTCCAGTGCTGAAGTTGCCTCTAGAGCAAGGGCATTAGTAGATTCCTATCCATCAGATCTCAAACATGTATTTACAGATAAATTTCTATTGTCCTCACATATGTAAGCAGAGAAGGAATATGTGGCAACAATGATCAATGCACAAGTAGCAGACAAGTTGGTGACAAGTTGTGCAAATGTTAACATTCTGAAAGCAATGTTATTTCGCCATCTTGACAACAAACTGTGAAGGGAAACACTCTTTTTCAAAGTTAAAACATATAGAGAACTATCTTCAGTCTGCCATGGGACAGAAATGACTATTTTCCCTTGCACTACTTTTATCTGACAGTAAGCTTTTGAGGAAAAAGGACATTTGATGATGTAATCTGTGATTTTGCTAACTAAGAATCACAAAGTAAGTATTTAATTGTATATTATACCTGTATGATGGTTATTGACTAAAGATTTAATACACATGAATTTATTGATCTTCAACATTTGCACATGTATTCTAATAAAAAATAGCAATTTATTAAGTGTGATTTAACAGTTTTCTTATTTTTTAGTCAATTATGAATTTTAGACCCTAAATTTTCCATAGGCTCTAGACACTGTGCCTAATAGATAATCTGGCTCTGCCTTAAAGGATGCAGTAAGAGAATAGTCTCTGCTCTCCAGCAAGTGCAGGCATGACAGTTTTAAACAATTTTGGATTCTTGTGTCTTCCTGACCTGATGCATCTGCAGTAGAGCTAGGTACACTTAGACCAAAAATAATATATTGATTCTGATCATCTTAATGAGAATTAAGGCTTTAAATATATTTTTCTTTCCATCCCTAATGAAAGTGTACATTGTGCTACAAATAACTGGTAGTTGGATTTTATCCATGAAGGCTTTTGTGTTCTTTTGAAATGTTATTCCCCAAAAATGGTAGCTATCTGGATGTAGTAAAAGTGGTTTCAGTCTCAGAACTCCAAAACTTGGTAAGTTTGCCAAAAATGTACAAAACTTGATCTCTTTGTCTTTTTTTCCCCTTGGCCAAACAGTGAAATATTTGTTTAAATGCTTAAATGAATATATGTGATAGTAGTGGTGTTGGAGGTGGGTTTTTTTTACTTTTACATGTTTTAAATTTAGTTTTTAAACTTCATTCTAAAATTTGAGTAATAAATAACAATTTCCAGATGGTTACATACCTCTTGACTGATAATAAAACAATAGTGAATGGGAAAATGGATGAAACAGGGATCAGAGAGAACTGGAAAGATCAGAACAAATATTCCATGACAAGATGTGGAATAAATGTGAACTTTATAGAGTAAGATAACATTTAACATCATAGCAAGATCTATTACTAACTCTAGTACCAGTTAGTCTACATTCATTGATTCAAGCAATTCATTTTATATTTTCACTTTCTTTCCATAAATTATGATATTGAGGTTGAATGTGTTAGATTCATGTTGGGTTAATTCTTTTACTTTGACTATTCCCAGCATATTCACCATCATCAATGAACTTTACATAGAAAAATCCAGTTAGTAGCATTAAAAAGTAAGTATATGCTGGATGTAATTGCCCCATTTGGATTTAATAAAATAAAATTTTGTTAATGGACTGCTTATCTCACTCCAGTAAATACTCTCCAACAAATATAGTAGTAAACCAAAACCATACTCCAACCTCAGCACACGGAGGGAGGAGTAAACTGCATCATTTAAAAGGCGGTAATATTAGGTTTACTGCCTTTGTGCTGTAGGGGAGTCGTACAAGGAGTTCCCCAAATGCCTTTTTATGAATCACTCTGAGTGGTTTGAGTCCATGATTGCTTCAAACCGAGCAATAAGTGCTACTCATTACTTTTACTCTGCCAGAAATGTCATACAATATGTCTCTATGACAGAGTGGACTAGGCCTCAAAACTCCTTGCTGGAAGCTTGTGGCCTTCCCACACACAGGAAAAGAGCAGGAGAGAAGTTCTCCAGGTCGTCTAAAGTGGCTGCAGCAGTGAGTCAGAGCCCAGCAAGCTAGTATAAAGGATCTCCTGGGCCAGAGCCAGACAGTTCCTCCTTGGAACTCCAGCTATGCACACTGAGGGACTGGCTGACTTAGAAAGCAGCAGTACCTTGGACAGCTCAGTGTGCAGAACTTACTGTATATCAGGCTGAAGCCCAGGGTCAGCTAATGGGCATGGCTGGTAGGTGAGTTACAGAACCCCTGGATAGGATTTTCCTGGGATTTTGAGACAAAGCCCTGAGGTGAGGGCAAGGACAGTTCATACCTCAAAGATTGGCACTGAGTAGACAATTGCTATTTACAGGATGCCTGAACTGGGACTGAGAGGAGTGGGCAGGCCTAGGTCCCTTCTCCCCCTCCCCAAATCCCACAGTAGCTACTGAAAGGGAAGAAACCTGATCCTAGGCAATCCAGGGAAAGGGGTCTGTGAGACACCACCCAGTCCTGGAATGAAGGAGGAGGAGCATGTAGACACACACCCTTTGCAGAAGGGGGATGCTCATGAGAAAGGATGAACCCGTTACAATTGCTTAATGGCACAAGATGTAGAAGCTGTAAATCTTGTGAAAGTGAAACACAAATCTTTTGGCCATGGAGCCAGGTTAACATGGTTCTTAGGCATCTAAAGCTTCAAATGGGTATTTAGTGGGATTTTCAAAAGTACTTAAGCAGGTTACCAACTGGGATTTAGGTACCTAACATGCTTAGGGGACTTTGAAAATCACTAGAATTCAATCTTCATCGTTAAGATCTCTAAATTTCTTTGAAAATCTGACCCTTGGTGTTCTCATATACTTCCTGAGAGTTATTACTTTGAATGCAGTTTGTAAAAGGCCATGGTTGTTTAGACTAGTAAGAACTGAAAGAGGTTATATTCAAAGAAGAGGTACTACTCCTGCTAAAAAGAATTGGAGGGAGATTTAAGATCCTTCTTATCCATGGAGTAAATTATCTTATATCTTGAAGAGGGCATGGAAACTTGTGAGGAAAAATGTTCTCTGTCAGATTTTAGATTTATGTGGATGGATATATACTCTTTCACTATCCAGAATAGATGCTATAAAATTACAATAGCCAAGGGACATATTTTGTATACATATTTTAGTGCATGTACTTATTTATATTTTATGATAATATTTATAATAAGTTATATAAACATTGCTTAAAATTATGGCACATACTTTATCCTTTAGGAAATGCTAGTTAAAGTCAACCCCCTTTTCACCTGGTAATTACAAAGAGAATAATTGAAATATAAAATACAGAAGTTAATGAGCATTATAAAGATGTAAACTGACAGGTAGATTAAACTCTGCTACATTTACATTGCTGAACAGATCTCTTACATTTTAATTAATATAATTGGTCATTTTATTGAAAGAAAATGAATAATTTTGAAAATATTGCCAAAAAACCAGTATAAAAAGTTCAATAGTAAGAAAAGGCATGTTTCTGTGTCCTTTTTTCATGTCAGGTTTGTGATATTTATTTTGCAGCTAGATAATATTTTGACTGTTTCATGCTTTGAGATATTAAAACAGGTCTTTTCTTTTTTTACAGCCCATGTTAAGAACATGCAGTGCATTCTAACAGTACAGTAGCAGTAGATCTTTCATCTTGTGCCTAGTGTATATCATTTCCCCAGGGTTAAGATTAAACAAAGCTTTTGTATTCATTTGAAGTAATTGTAATGAGAATATTTAACACAGGTCAGATGCAGATAGTGGAACTCTAGAGGACCTTGGAAATATTCTGGCTTTTTGACACTTGCCCACAGTGGGATGTGAAAGGATTATTGCTATTTTTTTATTTTATATTTGTAAGGAGGGGGATAATAATATTCTGTTTGTAATAATAGTGAAATCTGTGGATTGAGGCTTTTAAAACAGAATATAATTAACAAAGTGAACACTGAAACTGTTTCTGTCATCTTAACTAAAACCTTTATTACAAATTCAATGTATGTGTATGTGAATACAAAAATTACAGAATACTTAATGTTCTAAGCATGTATGAAGATTATCTTTAAAACACATTTTATTCATTCCTGAGCAGAAATGTAAAATAGTCATGTATCTGTGGTGTGCAGTTACTTCCTGGGAAAGACAGAGCATAGCTGATGTAAATCTGCATGACTCTATTGTAAGCAAAGGAGTGTGTTGATTTACTTCAGCTGAGGATCTGCCCATATTCTTTGTTATGTATGTAAAATAGAGAAATAATTGCCCGTTGAATTGTTCAGAGTGGAGAACAGTCTGGTTCAGTAAGACTGATTGTTTATCTCCCGAAACAGTCTCTCAGTGCTGTGAGTGATTTTCCATTTTCTTTGCAGAGATCAGTTGTGTGTTAAGCCTGCCACTTTTGCACTAAGCAATAGGTCATGAATGCATCAACTGTCCTAGATGGGTGAGACAATGTTTTGCTATGTGACCAGCTCTGGTCAGATTCCATACCTGTCATGTTTTGTAGAGACTATTAGCAACTTTGCCTCTTTAGCTGATCTGTTTAAAAAGTGCTGAAGTGGAACCTTTGCTTTAAAAAAAAAAGATACCTCACGAAACTGGAGACCTAGTTACACAGTCATACATCATCTCAAAGCTCTCTGTTAGAGGAAAGATCAAGAAAGTAGTTGGTTAACCAACCTCAGGGGCCTCTGCATAGAACAGGGTTCTTTGTTACCCTCAGTGTAGGGACTTCTTGTAACAGTGTGTGTAGTTAGCATCAGTCTGTGCATTGAGTGCTCTTAAAGTGTCAGATGAAACAATTTTCTTTACTGTTATAAGTTTGCTGCTTTTGCTATCCTTAATCATAATACTCTAGTAAACAAACTGTAAGAGGTTCACTCTTTCATTTCTGGTACACAAGGTTTAATTTGGTGATGATAAGGGGCCCAAAAAGACACTCTCCTATAAAGTCCCTTAGGAATCTATTTTATTACTGCTGCTTGTATTATGGTTTAACAGGATAGGATTTTGTCAGATCAACAGGAAAATAAAATCCAGATTCCAAGATCCCTCAGTAAGAACAGTCTGTCTTCAGTATAATGCTTTTGTCTGGGAATCCAGGAATAACCAGGGGTCCAAAAGGACAAGCAGGTTATAGACTCCAGTAATAGAGAGTACATTTTTTAGTCAATGACCTTGTATTTAATAGCATGAACTGCAAAATAGTGTCCCTTTTTGCCAACTTTATGAGTGCTTCAGAGAAGACACTTTCAACAAGACCATTGAGTCTCATACCAAATGCTAAACACCTACACTGCATCTAGAAAATTATCTCTTCCTTAAAAATCCTCTCATGCTATCCCAACAGATGTCTAAAATCTTAGGTCTCAGGAGCCACTCAGTTCCCACAGTGGGCTATGAGGAATCTATAAGCTGCACACTTAAAAGCCACCATTCAGTAATTGTACTTTCTGCAATTGAGCAAACAAGTAGCATCCTCTAGGGGAGAAATCAAATCCCAGCTACTGTATGTGGACTACAAATTGCCCAGAAGAATAACCCACAATGAAATAGGAAAATACAAACTTGAAGTCTGCTGTATCAAACCTCGATCAAAGCCCTCCATCCAAAACAAATCTCTTCTATAACCCAAACCCCATGGTTCTTTAACTCTATTGGAGTGGGAAATTGCTACATAACCCTATTACTCTGGCACTGAGGCAGTAGTCATGAGTCAGAACCTAAACCAGGAAATCAAAGGTAAGGCTCCCATGAAAGTACCCTCTCCAAAGGAAAATTCTTTTAGCCTAATTTATAGTACACTCCAACGCATCCTATTGTACTCCAGTACCATATTATAATCTCAGATTCCTCTGGTTTTGACCATAATATAAAATATCATCCCATTCTTTTGCTTTCAATCTTATCATGTAGGCTCCAAAAATATAACTTCACTGAACTACTTACTCATAAATGTCAGAAAAAAAATCTTTGTCCTTTTCTCAACTCCATTTTCAAGCTAGTACTCATAGTGACATGAATGTGAACTAACGTTATTTTTATGCCACTTTAAACTTCTGCACATCAGACAGTGCTAACTGTTGACCCAGTAACATGTATGCCAGCTCAGCGGTAAATAATTACTTTAACTTCCTCTCTGTTGTTGTTCTTCACCATGAAGCAGAATAAATGCTTTTAGCTAGTGTGGTACATTCTTGTAACTCACTGTCAATCTTCTTGTAATTCTTCAGACAAAGCTGGAAACAAACTTAAAACCTAGCTTTTGTTTTGTCTGACACATATCTTAATAACAAATATTGTGTAAGTGCTTTTGTGTAGGTCTTGAACTAGTAGACATTTTTGTTGAAACATCCAGGATAATCTTCAGTGATTGACTATGGCATGTCTTTTTTGTGTATAGATAAACCATATAACCCAATCTAAAACCACATACTTTAGAAAATAAAACAAAGTATTTACTGACAAAAATAGTAACTTCCAGCATTTTTCAATATTTGATCTGTAATTTTGGTAATATTTTTATCAGCTTTTAAAATGTGTCCTTTAAAATTGTTTTCAATATTTGATCTGTAATTTTGGTAATATTTTTACCAGCTTTTAAAATGTGTCCTTTACTGAATCAGAGCACAATTCATGTATGTAGTTAGATGACCATATACAATACAGCTGCACATGGAGGAAGTATGTTTGTGTCTCTGTGTACTGCTATTGTGTGTACTTGTGTGTTTTTTAAAATGTTAGTGTAACAAGTTAGAAGTATCTGCATATTAAGAAATTCAGACTCTGTTGGATGAACATCTGAAGTGAGTTCTAAAGCCAAGGGTCCTGGACTGAATATATGCTGCATCAAATTCTCCAGCTGCCCAAATATAGGAACTGTTGTCAGTTGACCTCAACTGCTCTGGCACTGGCTAGCATTGCCTACTGGTCTCTCAGAAGCTAAGGTCCTAACTATATAGGACTTTAATGACAAATAACAATACTTTTGAGTTGTACCTGGAATTAATAAGGAGCCAATGTGGTCCATGTAGTTCTAGTGTAATTTGTTCCCCTCTCCCTACAGCTGACCTTTCTGTGCAATCAGACAACTATATTCTGATTTAGATGAAACTCCCTACAATGCCATAAACAAAACAAAAACAGAGACTTAAGGGGGATTAAGGCTGGTTAATTGTGACAATTTGCAATCAAATCTTTGAAAGCAAGGAAATCCCAATTTATGAGACTCTCCTTACCTTCACGTCCACACAGCAGGTACCAGAGAGAGTGGCCTGCTCCTTAAGTAAAATACTGACCCCGCTGTAATCTATGGAAATCATGCCATTGACTTCAGTGCAGCCAAGATTTCACCCATAACTGTAGAATGATCTTCTATCTGCTGCCAACAAATAAGTAAACACAGACCATATTAATCTTCCTTCCTATACAAAAGCTTAATTACAACCTCAGCAACATTAGCAAATACATAGTGTTGACATGTTCAAAGGCTAAGTGGGTGGTATATAATGTATTCCGGAGAAGTATGGAGTCCTAATTAAGGTTTTGTGTTTGAAAATAAACCCCACAGCTGAAGTGAGTTCGACTTCAGATGCAAAGCAGACTTGCAAAGACAACTTACAGCAACACTTGACATTTCCACTGTGAATCCTAAAGTAAGCTATTTTAATGGCCATGAAAGAGAGTTTGGTCATTAAATTTTCTCTTGTCCCTATTTGAATATACCTCCTCATCCAATAGAACATTTTGACCTTTAACATCCTTCATTCAGTTCAACTCTCTTTCCAAAAGTGCTTATTTTTGACACTGCACATGAAGAATAAAACCCTCAGAGTGACAGTCTGTGATCATGTTTCATGTGGCAGACTTCATTTGCTTTCAGTTTATATTGCTATCAATTTATGACTTTGTTCCTTGAATAGGTATCTTTTTTCCACATTGTAACTGATATATTGAATGATGTATGTTTGAGAGGTATTTCAAGGAACCTTAACTTTAATCATTAACTGGTTTTATCTTGGCTCAGGCACCTTCAGTTTGGCAAGAGAAAAGTTAATATTTTTAAAGTAAAGAAAATAGCTTTTCAATATATAATTATTTTCTTATCAATTTCACATTTTCATGCCCTACTGATCATCTGGCATATAGTGCTTGACTTTACATTTAGCTCTCCAGGAATGGTTTTAAACATTATTATTACAAAGAAAGAAATCAGAAATCAAAGTGAATTCTTAGTACAATACAGAGGTATAGGAAGGTGCAATTGCTGTAACAGCAGCCTGCATTATACTATAGAACTAACTCACAGCTTGATAGAAAGTCCCTGCTGGGGAGGAAATGTAGGGGAACTGGCAGAGTTTTGCTATATCTGCTCCCTGCTGCTAGTAAGCTTTAACTTGTTTCATTTTTATTATGCTTACTGTTTAGATATTTTGCTCCAAAAATTAATTCCATAGCTATGAGAACACATAAAAGGAAGCGCAACATAGGGCTGTTTAAAAATTTAAAACTATCAGCAAGGGAGATTAAAGGCCATAATGAATAAGATGGTTTCCTTCTCAGTATGGGTTTTTTGAGATCAGGCACAGAGGCTCTAGTGGATAGACAGAATAAGCAGTGGGTAGTATATGAAGCCCACTCTACATTTTCAGTGCTTTGCAAAGCATGCATGTATTTGCATAGTATCACTAACTATTATTTCTCCCTTTGTGTTTTGGAAATACAGATTCATTCCTAGACATATGGTACTAAATGAAAAGAAGCAGTCACCTGCTTCTTAGATTTATAGCTCACTGCTATAAATTCATCAAAATTATTAAACTCCTATTTTTGTACAAATCAGTTGACTTAAATTTTTTTCCTAATATTACATTACTATGCTGAATGTGCAATTTATAGAACTGCAAAGGATTCTTTTATACATGTAATTAGTTTAAATAAACACTCAAGTGTACAAGAAATCTGTAATCATTTCTTCTGGTATACTCTCAGTTAAGATACTCTCCATCTAAAAGTGTAAAAAGTCCCTTGTATACTTTCCATTTCTTATTCTGTGACTTTCTTCCCCTTGGTGGATGTCCAGCACTGTAAAAATCTTGTCATGCTCTCATGCTGATATAAATTGTGTCCTAT